GTGATGAAGGCGGAACTGACAGACTTTCTACATCTGTTGTACGCATTGACCTCTTTAATTATTTCATAAACAGCTATGTCACGAGCATCACTTACACAGAGATACAACAGAACACCAGGCGGGCAGGGTGGGGACCCGCTTGGGCCCTCTCCCACACACCCCTCCCTGGATGTCCCAGAACCAGACTGTGAAATGTACATTATTATTGTCAATAAATAGAGAAGCAACCCTAAAAAAAATACAGTGGTGAAAGGATGCTGGAACCGGGGAAAGGGGGGACAAAAAAGGAAAAAAGAACTTAAGAGAAAGGAAAAAGGCTGGGGAGGGAAGAGTCCGGAAAGTCCTGCATTTAGCTGCGTGGAATGTGGAGTGAAAGTGCTCTGCCACCGGGGTCAAAGCGAAATCGTCTGTAACAGTAAAGGTATTACCAAATCAGCTACGGAGTTTATTCTTCAGTATGAATACATGATTTCCCACAAATAAGTAAGCACCCGCTACTTCAATGCCTCAGCTAAAACACATGAAATCGCTCATTTAGTTTTCAAGTACAAAGTTAAAATGCCTTTTTAATAATAATATATCAGAGTAAAATAATAGTCTCTTTTAAACTCCACTACAAGAAAACAAAACAAACAGTCATTGTCCAGACAGCAGACTTAATTTAACAATATATATTTTTAATAAAATGTTTTAGCACCTTGTTGAGTCACCTCCTCCCTCTGCGTATTCTAGGGGATTTCAGCATTTTTGTTGTCTGTTGAATTCTAGGGCTGTGCAACCAAATCGGTCTGTGAAGTGTAATGGGACTAGGGTAACGCTTTAGACCACTGCTCATGTCCTCAGGCACAGGGCTGGAGGCCGCTAGACTGGGGTTGGGGAGTCACCCTCTGCACCCTCAAATGGGCAGAGCTGGGAGCTTTCCAGTTACCAGAGTTTCAGGAGCCCAGGGGCCTCTGGTGGGGAACGTGAGCAAGTCTCCACCAGCAAAGAGACTTTTTGTCCTTGTCCCCACTGCTTTGACCTGCTTATTTCTCCCTCCTCTAAAACTCCACTGCCTGGGGCCAGAGACAGGTTACCCACTAACACCAAAGGCCCACCTTAGCCGGGTTCCTGAAACACACAGATACAAGGTCCTCGCTCCCCAAAAACTCCAGCTTTCCTTTACCAAAACGTAAAGATTTGAGAGTTTATGCTAGAACAGTGGAGCTCAGTCTTCCAGCTACTCCCTTTCCTCCCAGAGCCCTTAGACCCCAGCAGAGGTCCAAGGAGGCGGCGGCTGGCGGCTGAAGCTTTAGCCCATCCCTGATCAGCAGAGAATGGCTGGAAGGGCCACCTTAGTTCCAGGCCATTCTTCCAAAACACCTTTTCCCATCCTGCCAGGGAGAGGGAGAGGCTTTAGTCATTCCCTCCCAAATAGACAGGACTCCTCAAAGACAGTTCCAGTGTCACCCTCCAGTCACCCAGCCCTGGGAACAAGCCGACTGGAGAATGCCCCTCAACAAACTCAGATCACTTACCTCCCAGGATTGAAACTTGGGCTTGGCTAGAAACTCAACTTTCACCAGAATCCTGGCTCTCCCATGCCCTTGACCAAAGAAAGCAAGCAGCCCTCTTCAGGGCATGGTGCCAGTCAGGCCTCCTGGCCCCAGCTGGCAGCACAAGGGACTCCTAGGTGTCTCCTGAAAGCGAATACAGCACCACGGCAACTCTGCACCAACGGGAGCAGCAACAGGAATTCAAAACTGCCTCCAAAATCTACTCCATATATACTTATATAATCAAAAATATGAAAATGAACGATTGCAGTTTTCCTGTAAGAACATCTCCCAGATGGCTCAGCTGCAATACTGCTCCCCTCGCTCCTGTTACAGATTTTTCTGTGCTGGAGAAGATGGTTCTTCCCCTCTGGGCTTCCCCAGAGTCACCACAGTCACCTGGTGACCAGCTCGGCCGGAAGTGAGGGGCTCTGGGCCCCCGTGAGACCCTTTCAGTGTCAGTCCTCCTTCCTGCTGGACCTGCCTGTCCCAACTCACAACCTAACAACTCGCCAAAAATCACACGGGCATCTCCACCAGCCAAGCAGGCTAAGAGCTGGATGCTCTTTTGGGAGGCTTGCTTTCTAATAGAGTGTTCAGTGGCAAGAAGGCTCCAGGGTCTGTCTGGAAAGAAATGTATAGCTACAGACTCACATCATCTGCAGACTGCAAGACCCCTCTAGTGCCCACCTGCTGCTCCCTGGTCTGCCTGGGCACTGACCAGCCACTCCCACGGGGCAGGGGGTTAGCACCAGCCGCCTACTGGAAACTAGCTTCCTGATCAGGCAGGAGACCAAGGGCTCTGTGCCCCTGGCACTAGCACCAACTACCTTCCCCAGGCAAGAGCCAGGGATCTTTGGCACCATGCTCCACCTGGCACCTGCAGCAGGGAGGCTGTCCTCTTCGGTCTCTAGAACCCTTGTTTCCAGGGGGAAAATGGGCCTGCTCTTTGGAAAGAAAATTCCAGAGAGAACACTCAGTTTTCCCCAGGCCTCTTTGTCTTCCCCCATTCCACTGCCTGTTACCTGAGTCTCATCTCATCAAGGACCCACCCTTAGCCCGCTGAAGCACAGCTCTCCTTTGGAAGGTGATCCAATACTTGTGCCCAGATGCCCCCCAAGGGCTGGAGGTGGATTAAGCATGTCCCAGCTTGGCCAAGTTGGCACATTACCAAGGCCCCCTACACTTTGCCATGTTCTACTGAGACCAAGCCCACGGCTTGGGTTGAAAGTAAAGCTGGTGATCACTAACTCTTGTCTCTGCAAAGGAGCTCCATGACCCTAGGGCACCTGGTCCGTTCTGGGGCCTGATCAGGTTGTCAGACCTGGAGGAACAAATGTTGAGTAGCCAGCCACAAGGGCTTCTCTGTGCTCAGCATTCCTTCTTGGGGCAAGCTGGCCACCTGTGCTCATCCCCTGGGCTTGCCACGCCCTCAGCTACTGAGTCCCCTCAGCGACTCAAGTCCCTGTGCCAACCCCTATGGGTAGAGCACCAGGTCCAACTAAGGTGGAGCTTGGGCCACTGGGAAAGGCTGACTCCTTCCCATAAGTGGTGGCCTTGGGGGAGCCAGGAGTATTGGAAGAGGAGGACCCACGAAGACTGTCTTGACACTAGGAGCTGGGAAGACCTTACTTAGCATTGGCCAGCGGGGGAGGGAGCACCTTGGGCTGCCTAGGGCAGTCCTCCTCCCCCCAGCCCTCCTGGAGTGGCTGGCGGACTCCAGGCCAGAATGGAGCCCCACTGGAGCAAGGAAGGGCTGGGCGAGCACCGCAGTCAGCACAGGAACTCCGAGGGGGCAGAGGCCCCCTCCCAACTGCTATAGCCCCACAGGGGGCCCAGTCCCCACCTGCCATCATGTCAGAGGTGGCAGGAAGCAACTGGGTATGATCTTAAACTCCAATCTGTCAAGGAAACGAGTAGATTGGGGTCCAGGACTAAGCACCCCAAAAAGGAGCAGGACTGGCTACCAGCTGTGAGCTTACTCCTGAGCAATGAGCAGGGGGTCAAAGCCTTGGTTTGGTTTTGTCACTAATTGCTAATTTGGTTTATTCAAAAGGTAAGGTTCGCTGTCCCATTTTTTGTTTTGTTTTTTGTTCCAGTGGAAGCCCCCTGGCCAAGACAGACCTGGATGTTGATTTGAGTTGGGGAAGAATAGGTAGGGGGAGTTGAGGACTGACTTGACTGGTGCCTAGAGTTGCAGGTCAGTATCACAGGTTGCTAACAGAAGAATCTTTTGACATCACCAGGGGCAAAAGAGATAGAACACTACTTGCTAGAGGAGAGCACCTGCTAAAATAAAACCTCCTCCTTTTCCTGTCTTCAGCACCTAGCAACTTCTGGGATTGACAGTCTACCTGCAATCAGGGCAACAGAGGTAAATAGCTGCATGGGCTGACTCCACAAAGTCCTGAACCCCGGGAGAAGAGCACGGGGGCTCCCTGGTGTGTGTGTTGAGTGCACTCGTTATGCATCGGTATAGGAATATGTCCTGTGTATGCATGTGAGACTGTTGGGCTGGCGTGGGGCTGTGTCTGCAGCGGGGACTGAGGCTCGGCACACGGAGCCCGCTGCCCCCACTCCCCACTCCGTAACATTTCTTATACATGACCCTATCTATGTATTTATAAGCGCCTATCACCGTGGACCCCTCTTTCCAGGGACGTGGACTCGGGGCCATGTGCTTGCCGGCATGCCTCCCAGCTCTGCCAGTCCCAGGAGGTGCCATCCCCCCTCCCATTATAAAATATATATCTCTATATGCCACATATCTACACCCCATCTACCCAGGCAAGCACCTGCCTGTCGGTCTCTCACCCAGGAGCCAACAAAGTCGTCCCTTCCTACCGCCAACACCAGGCTGCCTGCCTCGGTAGGAAGTGGGACAAAGTGTCGAGCGCTTGGGGCTCGAGGTGCTGCGGACTCGAGGCAAGAGCACAGCTATCATCAGACCAAGTACTAGAAAAGAAATACACACCACTCCAACCACACACACACGGAGAGAGACTGCCCGGTCCTCCCTCCAGCCCTGACACACCTGACTCAGAGGAGGGGAAGTAGAAGAGAAGCGTGACCAGCCCGGAAGGCAGACCTCGGGGACTCCCCGGCCGCCCAGCCGTCACCGTGCCCAGTGGCCCACCTGGCCCGAGGGGTGGGGAGCCAGGGCACCAGAGCCACCGCTAACTTAGAAGCACCCTGCTCCCCGCACCTTGGTTTGAAACCTAAAGGGAAGGGTGTTGGGTTTTTGTTTTCTTAAAGAAAATCTTAAAACAAACATAATTATAACCAGAACCATAAGAATAACTATAACAAAAGGTGTCATCAGCCTCCCAGTATAAAACTGCAGCCTTTGGAGATGACCAAAAACATCACGTTCCAGGGGCCGGAGCCGCCTCGTGCACAGAGGGGAGGATGGTGGGGGCCTCATAAAAGAACACACAAAAGGCGACTTAGACAGGAAAGCACCAGTACGTTTTGTATGTTTTTTTATTTGCTCCAGGTGGGGTTGTTTGACTGTCGTTTTCCCACACTCTGGATTACTTCTGATCCCACCACAAGGAGCCCTCGAATTGGCTAAAGTGAGAAATTGGGAATGAAGACTCCTTACCCTGCCTTCTTGCTGAGGGAGTCTCCTTTTAGAAAAAAATCAAAAGGTTATTGCATGAGTCTGGATGAATTCCACTCTCAGCTTTCCACGGTCCCGACCACCTCATTGAACCCCCTTTTTGGCAGGGAGAAGCGGGAGAACACAGCTCCCCAATTCTCCTCCTTCACTTTGTTAAAAACCAAGGGGAGGAGCCTGCCAGGGTAATGCACATCTGCAAGCTGTCTCCCTTTCTCCATCCTTGGTTAAACCCTTTGCACAGAAGGCAACGTGGAAGCTGATGTTTTTACTCATCTCGCTGTTTTAAAGCACCATTATGAAGTCGGGTTGTACAGTAGTTAACAGTACCTTTTATATATATATCTCATATCTATCATATATATATAAACTGTAAACAAGAGGTAACAGCGGCTTCTAGAAACTGATTTTCTTCAAGGTTTCCTGTGTGGTAGGCACCTGAAATACTGTAGAAAAGTGTCTTGTGTGGTGTTCTTGTCTCCCTGCTGCTATTGGGTTCTGTTTTGCATGACCAGGAATGGTGCTGGCGAGACAACTCAGTGGCTGGGAGGGAATTCCTCTGCCCGAGTGTCTCTGTTTCTGTCCCCTGCTTGTGCTCCTATCTGACCAGGCTAGAGACAACAAAAAAAAGATATATAGTAAAAATAAAAAATACCCAATATATAGATTTCTATAGAATTTCCTTTTTCCTCTCTCCCACTTTTCCTCTGCAAGATATTACTATTTTTTTGTTACTGATTTTTGCTGCAATAACCCTCTTGTTTCAGTCACAGCAAGAAACAAAAACCCAAACAAACAGAAAACCCCTCTGAAAAGAGTAGAAAACGAAAGGTCTGACCAAAAAAGGGAGGGAGGGGGAGAATAGGGGGAGGGAGTTTGGTTTTGTTTTTAAATAGGACTGAAGATGAACATTGAAAAATCAGGAGACGATGTCCAACCCCTTTCGCAAGGCAAAGCCCTCCGGTATTTCCGCCTCTGTGGTTTTTGTTTTAAATTCCTTTTTCTCTTCTGGGTGCTGATACTTCTCTCCATCCTCACGTTCTTGGTGTTTTATTATGTTTTGTGTTTTTTTTTGTTTGTTTAACTTTGTGTCACTACCTCAGTTTGCCCCCATGTCCCTTACACACAAGCGAAATACTCCTTCAGCGGAGCGAAGAGGTGGCGGATGACTGGTACGCTCCATGACCGGCCCAGCAGTCTCTGCCTCGCCAAGCGGCTCATGTTGGAGACGTCGGTATAGTGGACAGGGAAGCCAAACACCCTGGGGGAGAAAAGGCAGAGGGGGGCAGGGTGAGGGCTGGCTGGACCAGGCTGCCTGGAAGCCGTCTGACCACATACCAGGACCAGGCGACCAACAGCTGCCCAAAGTGCAGGGATGGGGTGTACCACACTCACACCCACGCTCCCCTGACAGACGCCGAGTTTTGCTTAATTAACTTCTGTCCTTTATAACCAACTCAACAATCAGATTGCCGGCCACGTGCCAGGCACTGTGCTAGTTTCTAAGGCTTTAAAGGCAGTAAGGTCATCACTGCCTAGAGATTTATAACTCAGCAGAAACACAGTATTTAAAAAAAAATACCTCCAGGACGTGCTGCACAATACCGAATACCTCAGACCAAGCTCCATGGTGAGTGGCTCAAGTCTGCATGGAATAAACAGACACCCTAGTGTTTCCCCAGGAGAGCAGGGAAAATTTAAAAAGAGCTGAATCCTTTCCTGACTTTGGAAGTTGGAGGACTTCCTGTTTTTTCTGGTGGTTTGTGTAGATGGTCTCTTGTCTGGCTAAATCCTAGTTATACCCACAGAATGAGAAGGTAATTCAGCCCCATAAGTTCAGTTCACATCAAATCAGGGTGCAGAGGCTAGACGGTCTGCCTGGTCCTATGCTGTCTTGGTTTATAAAATATACAAAATTGGCACCACATGTTCAGAAAGCTACTGCAGCTGCAGTGATTCCTTGGGGTTCAGCAGGATCGACTCCTCTTACTTTGGGAGAAGCCTTAAAAGACACAAGGGCCTGGCTGGCCAGGAGCTTGGCCCAGGAGTCAGCTATGCTGGGAAGTGCTTGGTAAAACCCACTGCTCACACGGTGCCTGTGAAAAACAAGCCTGGTGGGAAAGACAGAGACCCCTCCCATAAGCACAGCAATCAGAACACCCCACTGCCAAGCGCAGCACTTTGGGAGGCAGAGGCAAAGGACTGTCAGAGTCCAGGGGTTCAAGACCAGCCTGTGCAACCTGGCAAGACTTCTGCAATAAACCAAAAAATTAGCCAGGTGTGGTAACATGCGCCTGTGGTTCCAGCTACTTAGAAGGCTAAGATGGAAGGATCACCTGAGCCCAGCAGGTGGAGGCTGTGATAGCTGTGAGCATGCCACTGCACTCCAGTCTCCAGCCTGGGTGACAGAGTGAAACTCCTATTCAAAAAACCAAAAACACCCCATACCACACCCAAGATGCCAGTGGCACATCGACTTGTACCTTTCCATTTCAGTGCACCATAAGATGTCCTCCTTCTCATTCATGAAGACGGGGAAATGCTGGTCTTTGCCCTGCTTTATGGAGTTTGACCTAGTAGTAATGGTCCTCACTTTGCTGAACTAGAAAATGAAAAGGAGAAAACATGAATTCAACCCACAAACAAGGTCATGATCTACTAGGTGTTCCAGGCACTCGCCATACCCTGATAAGGCCTGGTCCACTGGGGGGGGGAGAGGAGGGCGGGTATGCTCTGGGTGAGCTGAGTTCCCTTGGGCATGGGCCTCCACAGGCTTCACAGACCTACTTCTCTTCCGCTTTGAGGTCAACTGGCCAGGGATCCTTAGTATCAGGTAGCAAGCCAAAAACTTGAGAAGCAGAAGTTCTAACCACTATACTTCCTAAGTCTTCCAAAGAATTGGTTCCTTCAGAAGTGTGTCACTTACAGACTAAGGGACGCCAAATTACTCAGAGGCTCAAGATGCCCTCTGGGTGCCAGCAGTTCTGAATGTTGAAACCTGCTGACAAGGAACCCATGTCCTATGCAATCACTCCAGCATATTTCAGCTCCAGAGAGAAAGGGAGCATCCACCACATAGGAGACTGTTCTTGAAAGGCTTGTGCCACAAGATTTAAAGGCCCAGGGACCTTGGCAAAGACTCTTCAGTGTTCTTTGGCGTCTACCACCCAGGGGACAGTGGGTAACACTCACCAGGGAGGAAGGGCTAAGGCCAGCAGCCCTGGGCCCTTCCTCTGGTCCCCAGGCTGTGTGACTACCCTGCACCATCTCCCACATCACATTCTCCACACTAGTTGTGCCCAAAGTCAAGGGGCAGGCAGGACTTAGCCCTGGCCATCACTCTACCTCGTCCCGTCCTCTGCCCTTCTCCTTGCCCCCCAGCAGAAGTCTGGAAGCTGACCTTGGCTATCCTGCCATGCTCCAGACACTCCTGTAGCTCCAGCTTGTCATTCACAGTGGATGCCAACGGCCTAGGAAGCAGAAGAGAGAATGTAACCACAGAAACCCAGCCAACTGCAGAAAGGTGCCCAGTGGCACTATTCCCCCGAGACTCACAGGGGTATAGATCCCACCCCCAAATCATGCACATACACCATGACCCTTTTCAGACTCCCCCTAAATACACTGCAATCATCTTGGGACACACCCACCAAGTGTTCATCTTTAAAGGTAATTCAAAAGTGGTCTCACCTACCAATACGTAGATAACACCTACCCAGAAGGGGGGAAAAAAGCACAACTATTTTTACATCTGTTATTTTAAAATGCATTGAGTTTCAAGTACCCCACCACAAAGCAAGTTTTGGGGGCAACAGAATGTTCTGTATATTGATTTGTGGTGATGGTTTCATGGATGTGTACTTGGGATAGAATTCACTAAACTGTCTACCTTAAAGACAGTTTAAATTCTGCTATCCCCTGAAGACTGTAATTCAGTGACACCAAATGTGTCACTTCTCAGCCAGGCATGGTGGCTCATGCCTGGAATCCCAGCACTTTGGGAGGTGGAGGTGAATGGATTGCCTGAGCCCTGGGGTTCAAGACCAGCCTGAACAACTTGGTAAGACCTTGTCACTATAATAAGTCAAAAAATTAGCCAGGCGTGGTGACACACGCCTGTAGTTCCAGCTACTTGGAAGGCTGAGGTGGAAGGATCGCCTGAATCCAGCAAGTCGAGGCTGCGGTGGCTGTGACTGTGCCACTGCATTCCAGCCTGGGGAACAGAGTGAGACTCCAATTCAAAAAAAAAAAAAAAGATGTCACTTCTCAGGGGGGCAGACCAGATAAACTGAAGATCACCTTCAGCACTGACCTTTCCTGACATTTGAGAATATTTTTAAAATGTTTCCTAGAGCGTACGCTCCAGGATCTCAGTGTGGAAACCACAGGGGCCTATAGCCAAATCAGGCACTCAGCAGTGCTTCCACATACAGTCTACTTGGATCCGTGTAGTACCTCTGCTCCTCCTAGAGTCTCAGAGTTCTAGGATCTTAGAGTTGGAAGAAGCAGGTGAGAACAATCCCAAAAGACCAAGGAGAAACTGAGCAGTGGCTCCATGAAAACACTCATGCATTTTCTAATATACCCATATACCTGGGAAACTTTGGGGGACACAGTTTCAGGCCAGCTGCCACACTGACCTGTCTCTTTCCCATCAACAAGCCTTCATGACAGAACAAAACTTTGTCCAACCGTTATGACACTGGAAATGTCCTGCAGCCTCATGTGAATGGCAAAGAAGGAGACTATTTGACCGAAGCCAGGTGAGATGTTTCCTATTTATAGGTATACCAAGGAGGCTTAAAATTCATGACCGGCGGGGGGGGTGGGGCACACAACATCAATAAGGGTACCTGATCAGAAACCAGGCAAAATGAGGACCAAAGGGAGGCCCAAACTTTACCTGTACAGTTACCACTTGTATACTCAACCCTGAATTGTACTCTACCTCTTTAAAATTAAAAAAAAAAAAAAAAAACGAAAAAAAAAACCCATGACTCAGAACATGCTGGAAACATTTCCCTCCACAATGAATAGACTGGATTGCTCTCACCCTGCTTTTGAACTGTAAACTCGAACAATTCCTTTCTCCTCAAAGGCCTCTTTATAATACAATTATTATACCTGAAGAAATGAAATTTTCTTTATTCCTGGATGTTAAAATTTGTATCTGCAACTTAAATGAAGATAATCCTTCCAACAAAGGACGTGAAGTCAGCAAAGTATGTGATTACCAAGTTAAACAGAACCCTTGAACTTGCATAGGGCTGCTTCAAGCTTCCTCCCCTGGAACAGGCCATGTAGCCAGCTGTGGGCACTACTTCCTTTCCCATCCCCAATACCATCCGCTATGGCTTGACCGCAGGAGAATCTAAGGATGGGTAGACTCTGGACACACGCCAGTGTAGGAGAACCAGCTATCCAACTCGGAAGCACACAACTCTTAGGTAAAAGATGTACTTTCAAAGGACCCACTTTAAGACCACTAGTTGGTTTCAGACAAGTATTTTCTATATCCTGACTCCCCCCCCAAGGAAAAGGAAACAAACAATATGGCAAAGCAGCCAGCCATTCAGCAGAGGCAGCTGGCCCAAGAGGGCCCACTCAGTGACTCCCCACAGCGGGCCATCCTGCCTGCAGACCCAGCCCACAGCACCCCCAGACCCGGGAGCTCTCACCAACCTGTTCATACCGGGAAGGTTACCCCAAAAGTAGCGGGCCCTGTGTGCAGCTGACACTTCTTTGGCATCAATCATCACAGGGTTGGACTATAAAACAGGAGACAGTTTGAAGATGAGCAAAGGAGGAATTCTAAAGAGTGCTGGTAATGTTGATTTAGAGCCTTCAAGCCTCAGGGGCTCTTATTTCTCTCTCTCAGGAACCATCCACTGGGGTAGCCTGAAGGCTCCAGGAAAAGCTGGAATTAAACTGAGCCACAATCCACGTGCTGTCACTGGAACATTCTAGACCAGCACTGTCCAACTGAACTGATGGGAATGTTCTCTATCTGCACTGCTCAATACAGTAGTCACTGGTCCACAGGTGGCTGTTTTGTAGCAGAAATGAGGCCCGTGTGACTGAGGAAATAAATTTTCCATGTTAGTTTAGTCGCCATGGGGCTGATGTCCATGCTGGACAACGCAGCTCTAGACTACCCACAGGCTTCGAGAAAGAACGCGCTAACGTGTGTGGGCATGTTCACTGCATGTCTAGGCTATAAGCCAGATAGACACTTGCTCACACTGCAAGTCAGAACTATTAGCTTGAGGTGTGACTGACCCCAAGACGTAGGGAGCATGGATGGACACAAACTCCCAGATGGCCCGCTCCAAGGATGCCTCTGGCAGCAGCAATCCTCTCTGTGTGGCAGACCTGGTTCTCACCTCAACTAGCACTCACATTGTAAGAGGAACAAAAACTGCAGTAAGTCATGTTTTCTTCCTAGGTGCCATAAACCATGTCGTGGTGGCAGAGAGTGAGGATGGGCCCCTCTGGTCAGGGAAAATTGATTTTGACATCGCAACAGTCCCTCAGTGTAAACCACACAGAATGCCCAACCCTATGAGTCGGGCACCGCACCCACTTTAGTGACAGGCCCAGCAACCTGAGGTCCGCACCCACAACACCACTTCTTAGAGTGAGCCCACTGGTTCTTCAAGGTGGGCCTCTAACCATGCTTCCTCTCTATCTGGGAAGCCTGGAGCTCCCCAACCAGGCCCCTTGCAAAGCAGAAGTCCCCAGTCCCCAGCTCCACAATGCAGATGAGACAGGGATAAAGCAGCAGTCCAAGGTAGAAGCCATTAGTGAGCTGGCCAAACCAAGGTTGCTGGCTATACCTCAAGAAATCGCGAGATGTCCCTCTTGTCACTAACGCCCATGGCCACCACATTCTCAAAGAGCCAGAAGAAGGGGCGATCATCTCCCTCCTTGGGCCGCGCATCATGCAGGAGGCGGTAGAACTCAAAGAAGAGCCGGCCAGTGCCCTCTGAGAGGTCGGAAGAGAAAGCCATCAGCTGGGGCTGTCTGCGTGAGACAGTGGTGGCTCGGGCTCGGGCTCGGGCTCGGGCTCGGGCACGGGGAGGGCCAGGGAAGACAGGGTCATTGGGAGGAGCTGGCCCAGGGCAGAAACATCCAAGGAGGAAACCTAAGTGCGGAAGCACCAGCTCAGGAGGAGGAGGGAGAGGACGGCACCTACCATAGAGCCCCTTGCGCGCAGGGTTCACGATGGAGAGGTCATTGCAGGGACTGCCCCCAATCACCAGATCGAATGGGCCCCACTCCTGGATCTGGAAGGATAAAGCAACGTGAGGGGCCTCTATCTAGGGACAGAGGCAGAAAGGACGACAGAGAAGTTATCTGTGAGTGTGGCAAAGAAGTCCTTTGGCATGGGACAGAGGAGGCCCATCTGCCCTGTTTGCTCTCTCCCCTAGCTGTGCCACCACGGGCCCATCATGGCTCTCTGGGCTCAGCTTCCTCAACAAGTGAGGGGAACAAACTGGATCACCTCCCAGTACAGCAGGGAAACCAGTGTGCGCCTGGCAGGAAACACACACCCGATGGGAGGGTGGCCCAGGTGGATGGCTGAGTCCGAAGATACTCTGTGCTCTGAGCGGTTTAGGCAGGGTGTTGTCTGGGCCATCTGATGCCCTCCAAATGCGCTTCAGGATTCCAGAGGGCTTGTCGTTTCAGAGGCTGACCCAGAGTCACACTTAGCCAAGACCCTGCCAGAGACCCCCAGGATGGAGGTTGGTAAAGCTATCTGCCAAAGTATTGGCGAGCCAGGAACCTCCCTCCAACCCCAAGGGCCCTGAAACTAGCCCATGGAGCAGCTGCAGCCCAGAAAAGGAAGCTCCCAACTCCCATCTGTAATGTACCCTTTACCCTCCTCAAGACAAAGAAGAACAGTAGATAAGGAGAAAGAGGGGCTGGGAAAAGGGTGAAAAGAAGAGAGCACAGGAACAAAATGAAAGGGGGCAGGACTGCCTCTGGGGAGGGGCGGGCGGGACGCGGCCCACAGCACGGACATACATGCTTCTGTGTGACACTGCGGACGTCGCCGACATACATGATCTTCCCCTGGTGCCGCACCATGCCCACCGTGATGGAGTCCTCACACACCTCCGAGGCGATGTAGCGGTCCACCTGAATGCCCAAGTCCTTCAGCACCAGAAGCCCTGCACCAGCCAGCAGAGAGCACTGTCACGTGGAGCCCCCTCCCTGGCACCCTGGTCTTAGCAAGTCCGTCCTCTGGCCAACAAAACACAGCATCAGCAGCAGGCTCAAGCCCTCCCCTGCCCATGAGGCTGCCTTAAGTCCTTTCTGCAGCAAGCTGGAGAATCAACACTGAGAACATCAAGACTCTGTTTCATGCCTAGCTTGGACTACTTGGAAGGCTAGGTGGTTTCAGAATTGAGAGAACAGCAGGTGGTGCTTCTGATGGACTTTTCTTTTTTTTTTTTTTTTTTTGAGTTGGAGTCTCACTCTGTCGCCCAGACTGGAGTGCAGTGGCACACTCCCGGCCATCACAGCCTCGACCTGCTGGGCTCCAGCGATCCTTCCGCCTCAGCTTTCCAAGTAGCTGGAACTACAGGCGTGTGCTACCATGCCCGGCTAATTTTTGATTTATTGTAGAGATGAGGTCTCACCAACTTGCCCAGGTGGATCTCGAACCTGCGGGCTCAGGCAATCCATTCACCTCAGCCTCCCAAGGCGCAGGATTAAGCTGGCTCGGCCTTTTCTTTTCTACATTTCCATCTTGGTCCTTCCTCACCCACTGCTGTGATTCTACCTCTCCCCCAAGACTCAACATTTTTTTTTTGAGTTGGAGTCTCCCTCTATCGCCCAGGCTGGAATGCAGTGGCACACTCATGGCCACCGCAGCCTCTACCTGTTGGGCTCAGGCAATCCTTCTGCCTCAGCCTTCCAAGTAGCTGGAACCACAGGCATGCGCCACCATGCCAGGCTAATTTTTTGAGATGAGATCAAAAACTGTAGAGATGAGGTCTTGCCAAGTTATCCTGGCTGGTCTTGAACCCCTGAGATCAGGCAATCCTCTCACCTCGGCCTCCCAAAGTACTGGGATTATAGGCGTGAGCTACCGTGTCCGGCCAACTCAACTCAACTTAAATGCTCCCTGCTGTAAAAAGGTTTCATCAGTGTCCCACCCCACCCTACAGTCCCCTGGAATTACTGTTCCCTCCCACCAGTCCCCTGCACTGTGCATCCCTCCTGCCCTCATTAGAACAGTTCATATTCCTCACTCCGCCCCTCTCTTGGATTGCACATGGTCCTGAAGACAGGGTGAAGGTCTCCTTCCCTGTGTTCCCTCCTGAGTTAACTATGCTGACTTCCTTACCATGCTCCCTCCATAAGGCTTGCTGAATTGAGGCAAGGAAACAATCAGAACAGACCCCAAGAGCTTTAGAAGAAACAGGGTCTGGCAGCACCATTTCTACTGCTCCTGATGGATCTCTCCACCAAAGAGCTTTCAGAGCCTCTTGGGGCATGACATGATTTAAGAAGGCCTCAAGGTTCTAGTCTGGGAAATGAAAGCTGTAAGTGAACTCCTCCAGGTTTATAGACCATCAGCACCAAGTTGAGGACAAAGGACAACACCTAGCCTGGGAAGTGACGCCTATCCTCACCCTTCGGCCAAGTTTCCCTGACTGAAACTGCCAGTCTCCTTCTGGTCAGATGAAGACACAAGGTTTTTTTGTTGTTGTTGCTATCGAGTTGAGGTCTCACTCTGTCACCTAGGCTGGAATGAAGTGGCCCGGTCATGGCTCACTGCAGCCTTGAACTTCTGGACTCAGGTGATCCTCCCACCCTTCACCTCCTGAGTAGCTGGGACTACAGGCACACCTCCACACCTGGCTAATTTTTTATTTTTTGTAGAGACGAGGTCTCTCTATGTTGCCCAGGCTGGTCTCGAACTCCTGGACTCAAGCAATCCTCCCAGCCTTAGCTTCCCAAAGTGCTGGGATTATAGGCATGAGCTACTATGCCTGGCTTAAGACACAAGTTCTACAAAGAGCTAGTCTCTTTTTAAGAACTCAGAAGAGCCTGGTGTGGTGGCTCACATCTGTAATCCCAGCACTTTGGGAGGCAGAGGTGAGAGGATTGCCTGAGCTCAGAGGTTCAAGACCAGCCCGAGCAATATGACAAGACCTAGTCTCCACAATAAATCAAAAAATTAGCTGGGCATTGGTGGCACATGCCTGTGGTTACAGCTACTTGGAAGGCTGAGGTGGAAGGATCATCTGAGCCCAGCAGGTCAAGGATGGGCCATGAGCGTGGTCATGAGCGTGCTACTGCACTCTAGCCTGGGAGTGCGAGAGGACTCCCACTCAAAAAAAAAAAAAAAAAATGAACTCAGAAGAGTATGATGACCACTTGTATTCCTAATCCTGAATTGTACCCTACATCTTTAAAATAAAACTAAAAAATAAAATAAAAAGAACTGAGAAGTCCTCAGCCTGGGGGCAGGGCAGAGGGATGAAAATATGTGGGTTCAGGCTTTCAGGAGGCTTTCTGGAAATGTCAAGAGCCACAGGAAAACTACAGTGCCTCTAAGGTGACACCTATTATAGCTGTCCCACAGTGACCCAGTATTTCCTAAGACCTTTTCTTTGCAAAGGAGATAACAGTTTCAGTATGTGAATATGTACATATAAAGATGCTTGTCTCAGCACTGCTTAAAATGGAAAAACAGTAAAAAGACCTACTAGGAGTTAATTAAACACATTATGGCACGTTTACTCAATGGAGTCCTACACAGCAGCATTTACAAATCAAGAATGCAGCCTTATACTGCTTGACGTGAAAAAGTAGTCACAATAAATGAAAGGCAAGTTACAAAACAGTATGCATGGACTTATCCGCTTGTTACCTATCTACAGATATATGATTATTTATATAATCATACACATGCACAGAAAAAAATCTTAAAAGATATATACCAAAATATTAATGAAAGGATAGTAAGCGATGTAAATAAGCCTTCTTTTCTTTAAACTATCCTGTGTATAATCAAAACACAACAGAACGGTGTGTTTCTTCTCTTTGGTCAACCAAGTCTGTCCTTTGAGGCTCTGTGAAATCTTCAATAATCTCTAATGGCCACTCTGTCCTCTGCTGCAGAATCTCCTTCATTAAGGAAAATATCCAGCAGACAGGCTGGTCTCCTACTTATTTTACTTTTTATTTTTGGCCAAATCCCACATGCATGGACAGCATACTCTTTCGTTAAACACAAAAGTTTCCTCCTCAGGGTAATATTTTAACAGTCACGATATGCCAGCGATCATTTTTGCTTTGCCAGAGTTACCCCCATACACAGCTCCCCTATCCCAGGACGAGGAGGCCAGCACCCTTTGGGCCTGTGCCCCTCACCTGTAGCAATTCCGTCAAAGAGAGACAGCACCCGGATGGGCTTCCTCTTCTCGGCTGGGACAGGTGGGTACACCTTTGGAGGGTCCTAAGCAGTGAGCACAACAGGTCAGGTGAGCACCCAGCAGTGTCCCACAGTCCCCTATCCAGGACCCCTAGATCCATGCACCCCATGTGCTACTCAGGCCCCACAACCAAGCCTCAGCAAAGAGAGCTCAAGACTGCACCCTGGGCCCCACACTCACAAACTCCTGGTCATGGTTATTGGCGAAGAACATCTGGAGTCGAGAGGGCCAGTCGTCCCGCCGCCGCAGCAACCCGTAAGTGCCCTTGTGCCCACACATGTAGCAATTCCAGGGGTCTTCCTTAATGGCTGCTTGGGCAGCCCCTGGCCCCACCAAGAGGTCCACACACTCCACACAAAAGCACCTGGAAGGAAGCTCAGTGAGCAGAGGGGACCCTTAGCCACAGTCCAGGGAGGCCAAGGCTGCCTGGATTGGAAAGGCTCCGTCCAGAGCACACTCGGGGAGCAGGGTGAGGCAGGCAGTGGGAGTCTGAGGCCCAGCCAAGGAGGAGGGGCAGGCTGCAGCCTGGGTGGGGACCCTCACCTGCAGCAGTTGTTATTTCCACACATGAGCACCTCACGCCCCCCGCAGCAGATGGTGCAGTAGGACTGATAGCCATCGTCATCATACTGGTACGCACACTCCAGGAAGCAGTTCTAGAAAGCAGCAGGGAGAGTGAGAAGTCACCAGGGAAGGGCCTGGGACAGCCAGGTGAAAGCAGGCTCTGAGTCCAGCCTCTTGGAACTGACTTGGCCCAGGAGACATGAGCCTGCTGTGTGCCCACTCAGGGTCAGGCCCCAGTACAGATCTGGGAAGGGGGAAACCTTATCTTCCCATGCACTGTAGTGGACAGAATCAAGGAGGGCCCTGGGGCAAGGCCAGGAGGGAGCTGCACCAACCACCTTGTTCTCTTTTGCAGCCCTGGGCTTTTCTGCAGGGGTTCCCGAGGGCCTGGCGACCCAGAGTCACTCAGTCTGACCCTGTTCTCACCATCTGCTTCTACCCCCCTTCACACTAGTGACTGTGACATTGTGAGCCCTGCCCTTGCCCACATTTGGTGACTAGAATGGGGTTTTAGAGAGAAAAATAATCTTTTAGAGGAGAAAAACAAAAGCAAGTCAAAAACTTAAAGGCCAAGGGCCCATGTCAGCAGGACTCCCTGCTTCTAGATAAAACCTTGATGTCACACCCACACCAAGGGCCACCCTTCCTACATGCCCAGGGGCAGGAGCTGCAGTCAGCCAGGGGGAGCTGAGGGATGCACCGCCCCAGGCTGGGTGTGCCCCTACCTTGCAATTTTGGCACATTCCTCCGATGAAGAGGGGGTGTTCCAGGGTGACGTTGAGGCTCCCACAAGAGATGCAGATGTCTGGAAAGCAGTGTGGGTGGGGTGAGCACCACCGGAGGCCCCTCCCACCCCAGGCCCAAGCCCAGCGCTAGAGGGAGCTGCAGTGAAGGGGTGTGCTGGAGTAGTAGCTAGGAAAGAAGGCGGAAAGGAACCCAGGAGAGCAACCCATGGCAGAGGGAGACAACATGGCACCAATCTCAGAAGGCCTCATCTCCTGGAGCAGCAAGGGCACCATCCATCAACAGGGATGGATCTCAAGTCCTGGACCCTTCCCCCAATCCTTCCAGGTCCTCGGGGCCCCCAGCCAGATACACCCCCATTAGGCCCAGGGAGACAGAATGGGATGAGAAGTAAGGAAGGGTGGAAGGCCAAAAGGCCGGCAAGAGTGGCTGTCCACCTCTGGCCCATCAGGGTGTCCCAAACTCTGAAGATCAGCCCACACCACCGAAAGGAAAGCAACACTGGGTTCCAGGAAGACAAATGGTATGTGAAGCAGGCTAGAGGTGGTGGGGCAGGTAGGACAGGTCCCTTTCACTGAGTCCCCATGTCATAGAGCCCCTGTTCCCATATTATTCAAACCTTCCTAAGTGCCTATGCTACTCGGTACCTGGCAGGACACCCGGAACACAGAATTCCCAGGGGACCAGCTCACCCTCAATGTTCCGGCACTTCTGCCGCACCTCGTACACCAGCCGCTCTGCAGAGGGGAGGAGAGCCAGCATCAGAGAGCCTGCCAGGCCGCACCCACTCCTCAGAGTGCCACCTCCCAATGCCACTCTCTCCAGAATCAGGTCAGCTACCTCTTGTGCGTTCATCAATAATCTCCTTGACCTTAGGCTTTTCTGTTGTGCTCTTTCTGGGCTTTTTGGCTGGTGGGGGTGGTGCATAGGCAGCTGCCTCGGGTTCAACCCACATGTCTGTGTAAACTTCTTTGTAGGGATTCTTCTCCTCTGGAGCAGGAAAGCGGGTGACAAGGTCACAGTGGCAGGCTGACATGACAGGGAACCCCAACCTCCTCCTCTTCCTACAATGGGGTGCATCTGATCCCACCTCCCACCTCTCTGGTTCCAGCAAGCCAACGGGGGAGCAGATTATTCTGGAGGCCTGGAGCAGCATTGTCCTGACCTTGACCCCAGGACGAGGAAGACTCTGGCCACTCCCACTGGAACCCTCCACGGAGACCTTGGCAGCTCTCCCAGCCCAGGTGCAGATGTGACTTGTGGGCAAGGGTCCTACAAGGCTGGGCTAGGCACCCCCATTTACCTTCTGGTGGCTCTAGGCCCTTGGGGCCAGAGGGCTGGAACCCCCCAAGGGCCCATTCGATCATCTGCTTGTTCTGCACCTCCACAGCTTTGGCAGTGTCGCTCTCATCACTGTCGTGGCATGCTGGGAACAGCTTCCCCGCACGGCTGCTGGCCACCTGGAAGGCCAACACATCAGAGGGAGGGGAGTCAGGACAGGCTGAAGGGCAGGAGAGTCAGACCCAAGGCCAGACTGAAGGTAGTGAGGGTAGGCACAGGCAAGAGGTGGAGGGGAGAAAGGGCTCAGTGGGATGGGGAGAAGAAGAGTTGTAGCCAAAGGGCCCAGTAGACCGGATGCTCTGCCCAGGCCTGACCACCACACTCTGACTTCCAGGCCTCTAGTGCCTTCTGAGCTGCCTTCTAAGCTCCCCAGAGGGACACTCACCTGCAGGACTTCATAGATGGCTTTGCGGTACATGGGCTGCTTGTTGTAGGTGGCCTGGTGGAATGCACTGCAAAATGAGCTCAGTGGCATCAGCTTCTCAACGCACACCTGGCAGGACGAGCAAGGCCTGTGTTTGCTGCTCCTTCCACGCCCTCAAGCACCCACCCCGTGCCTCCCAACTGTCAAGGGGTGGGAACTGTAAGAACCACCCTCAGCCTGGAGAGGACCAGATGCACTGATAAATAATTACCCAATGCAAAGGAGGCATCCAGACCAAGGGCAAGGGAGGCCCTGAACACAGGTGGGAAGGGGACTCTAGTGCTGGGGTTTCCAGAAGGTCAACACCGGGCAGACATCCGGCTCTCGGAGTCACAGGCGTTACCTCTTAGGGTGATGTCTAAGGCTTCTTCTATTTGCCATATGCAGAGTCGGGGTGAGCAGGGCCCATTTCCACCACCCCAATTCCAGACTCCCCCCAGCCAAAATGATCAAGACCTCTTCCTTCCCCACACCCCTCAGGCTACTGCCAGACTTCACAACTCACCACTGAGAACTTGCCGTCTCCGAACCACATGACCCAGCGGGTGCCCTCGGCTGCTCGGCTCCGGCCCGTCATCCACCAGGATACAATGCGGCCTGGCCACCAGGAGAAGCCCCGCAGTTTCCCCCACACCAGCTCCCCAATGCCAAAGCCCCGGCCGTCCTGGAGCCCCAAGGAGCAGAAATCATTACACAGTGGTCACGAGGCCCTGCCACCCTGATCCCCCCGTGGCAATCCCAGCCCTGGGCATCTGGGGGGGTGGGCAGGACAGCCAGGAGGGAACTCCATCTGAATGAAGCAAGACAGAGCAAAACCGGGGAGACGAAGAGGCCGGGGGTCAGGTGGAGAGAGCGAGTAGCCAGTGAGAGATGGAGAGAGAGAGCAAGACGGGAGGAGCTGGCAGTGGAAGGCCCCAGGAAAGAGCTGGACAAGGCTGGTGACCACGCAAGCCGCTCACCTCGTACTCTGGTTCATCATCGGCTGCTTTGGTGGCATTCTTGTCCCCAGCATCGGCCCCCACGGGCTCAGGTGTGGTGGCCACAGTGGGAGACGCAGGGTCAGTGGGCTGCTGCACAGCGGGAGGGCTGGCTTCCTCCACCTTCTGAGACTCCCCAGACCCCTGGTTTTCTTCCACAGCATTCATTACTGCAATTACCTTGGCTTTCTTCTCAGCCTGAGGGAACAAGCAACAAGCAGTCACCTTGACCTCTCCAGGAATTAGCAGGGCCACCTCATACTAAAGAGGCCCTTCCCAACTTGTTTGTCAAGATCTGGGACAGTGACAGAAGGTAAAGGGCCAGAAAGTTCTTCCCTCATCAACCCAACTGGCTTGCCACGGAAAATAGAAAGATTGGAAGTTGAGAGGTGAACTCAGATTGCTCAATTCCAGTCCTCTTTTCTGTGTCTCAGGAAACCTTCCTCCCTGGCCTAATCTTCCTCAACCGCATCAGCATATCAGTTGTCCACCCTCTGATATGGAAAGGTTAGTTCTATTCAAATATTAATCAGGCATCATTGTTTAGACACTGATATTGGCTCCATGCTCTCCCTACCTTACTTCCCAATCAGGAATGGGATCCCTTCTCTTTTTTTCCAGTTTCCCTGGGCAATTAATCTCATCCATTCCTGGCTTCCAGACCACAATTCTGGTTTTGTGATGTCTACAGGCGATGAAATCACTGCTCTAGGCCTAAAGAACACACCTCCCCAGGGCATCTGCTCAAACACTGTAGAGAGTTCCGTAAGAGCCTATCTACCACTGCTGCTTGGGAGGCCATTCTGGAGTTCTCACAGGTCGCATCCAACATATACTGTTCTCAGATTCCACCCCTTCTACATGCATCTTTCCATAAAACAAATGTATTCATTCGATCCATAAAATACATGTATCCATTCACTTATGTACCGACCACACACTGCAGGCCAGGAACTCTCTCTGCCACCCATCAATCTGCAACCGAAACTCCACTTACTCTCCCACTGAACAGCCTCCATCCTTTCCCCGTGTCGTACTCAGGATATAATCCCCATGTCCATTTCTTCTCACAATCTGCTTCAGGATCTCCATAAAAGAAAATGAGATCCCTGATACCTAGCTCGGAGAACCACTACCCTTTATGAGTCTAGGCACCACGGCCCTTCAATATCAAGACTTGACCCATCTCCACCATACCAGATTCAGAAAGCAAAAAGAAATTCCACTTTCTGCCTGCCTCTCAACATGAAGCTTTCCCAAGAGCCTAGAGCTGCGTATAAAAACCTATCCTGGATTATAAGAATATCAGGAAGCAACCTGGAGTGTGAGAAGAGCTCTCATGTGGAAGTCGAGCATCTACATTCCTGTCTGAGCCTCGCCACTAGCAGCTGACTTGAAGCAGTCCCTTCTCTTCAGAGATGCTCCAACCTCAAAAGGCATTTGAGCAGAAGGATTTCTGGTAACCTTTTCTCACCTGTTTAAGAATGTGACGTACATATGTATCAAGAATTCCGAGGACTCTCCCAAAGCTGCCAGTGAACCCCTAGATCCAAGAGTCCCAGGTCAAGAACCTTGGTTTTAAGCTCTACAGTCTAGTGTACTGTCTTGTAGATTCATTTCCTTCAATCTTCATGTATCTGCCTCCCAGCCACAGCCAAATCTGTTTATGGCGCTTCTTAAACACTGAGAATGTTAGTCCTAGTTCTTCCTCTGACTCAACAAATTCTAAAATGGAATAATGCGCCCTTTGCCCCCGGCCCCCGAACAGCTGGGAAAATGAGCTCATGGACGGCGGGGGTGGAAGAATGCAGAGTAATTGCTCATGGTGCCCTGGGCTCACTCTCACCTGGTCAGGACTTTGGCCATCCCTTACTCTCAATTGGCCATCACCTCCACTCCCACAAGGTGGTGCAGGGAGGTGTGGACCCCAGCCTATAGGGGAGGGGGCTCTCTTCTGCTAGAGGCTATGCCCTCTCCCTGCTGCCCCCTCACCCACCAGGTCTTCTCAAGCTTCTGGCAAAGATGGCTGACCTAGGTAGGGTGTTGCTTTGGATGACCCAAAGACCCTGTCTCCAGGTGTGTCAAGGCCCCCTCAGCCAGTACAAGATGTGCAGGTGGCAGAGGGCAGGAAGGGCCATAGCTTCCACAGCAAGTAACGGCGGGTAGGTGGTGCGGGCTGCTCCCAGGCTCCCCAGGTCTCGAGAAGGGAGTCGTGCCTGACACCACCCTCATCACTCCCCCACAGCCCCTTTGTCTCTCTCCTCAACCCCTCCACAACGAGTTCCTGAACATTCTTCTTCCCCCACAACTTCCCCCGGCTTGTCAGATGCTGCTGCTGATAGCTGTTCAGCATCCCCAACCCACTCCGTGCAGAACACGACCCGGCACAGTTTGGGCTGGCGGAGGAGGAAGGGGCCTCCATCAGGACTAGGGCAGCAGGGGTGGGGGAAGGAAGAAGGGGTGGGTTGGCAGCAGGAGGCCAGAGGAAAGGGGAAGAAGGGGCAGAGCGGGGCGGGTGGGGGAGGGGCCTTATTAGAATAGTCTGCCCGGGGCAGTTCGGGAAAGCAACCTCCTTTCCACGTTTGCTCCTGCCTTCCTCCCCAGGGAAACAATAGGAGAGAAAGGAGTTGCCTCTGGCCTCTCCCACTTGGGCTGAGGGCTCCTTACCCCTGGAAGGCCCGAGGGATTGGGCAGGGTCCAAGAGGGACCCTACACCAGTCCCCACTACCGCTGGCTCTCAGAAGCCACTTGGCCTGGAGTCGGTCCAGCCTGGGAAAGCCACTGCTAACTCCACTGACTACTGCTTCCCAGGCCAGTCGCATCTCCTCAGGCAGCTGTCCCACCTCCACCTCCCCCTGCGACCCAGGCGCTTCCCGTTTCAAAGGTCAGAGGTCTGGCCGCCACCGCCCCCAAGCTCACGCGGCCTTGGGTATCCAGGCGTCACAGGCTGGGCCCCTGTCAGGGTCGCACTGCTCCCTCTCACCCTCCACCACTTCTTTCTGGCGGCCTGCCCAGTGGCTTCCGGGAACTCGGAGAGGAAGCTGTCCCTCGTAAGAGGCCACAGGCTGGCAGGGCCCTGAGTACAGCATGGACCCCCAGCCGGGATTACAGGTCAACAAGGAAGTGCCAGGCACCCATCTGCCAGCTCCACTGAAGCTGTTTCCAACCCAACTCTGGGCCACCAGCTCGCTCAGCGGCGCCTGCTCCCCAGCCTGCAGTTACCACTGGCCAGGCTCCCGGCCCGGCTGCTCTTCCTGTCCCCTGAGGGCGCCAGGTGCCACTTGAGCCCGCTGAGGAGTGGGGACCTTGGGGCTCCTGAGCAGGGAGTAGGTGGGCCGGCACGAAGTCAGCATCTCCAGAACTCCAGCGGGCCGGGGAGGCACACTTGACTCTTTTCAAACACGGAGGGCTGCGGAGATCCTCCC